AATTGATACCAACGAAAACATACTAAGCAGTCTCATGTTTACCAAACATAATCATCACTCGCAGTGCTAGAAGTTCATCGAACCAAGAATCGTCAAGAATAGATCTTTCTATCGCGTACTTATTTAAAAACAATGTGATTCACCCTAGTAAACATTGTCTAATATAGCAACGAAAGACACATATCACGGGTCAAACGGTGCTATCCGTTTTTTATACTCTCATTATAGATTATGATTTTATACAACGGTGACGACCACGCGCCACAGAAGCCATCCTCACCTTTCGACGACAACGACCATCATCTGGCTGCTAAGCTTTTGCCGAAGCGCGGAGCTTTTATTCATTCGGTAGTTCTCTCGTTCGGGTGGTGATCCGATTCGACCCACCAAACATGGGAGGCAAAGCTTCGTGTGGTGCTGCGCTGCTCAACATGGATGGGATTTTGGTGGTGGCATAATAATTATGATGTTCTTTTAGCTTTGTCTTTGGCTGATGAAATAAAGTACTCACATTGCGGTATGAACGTGCACACGAGCGAACACATACAGTTGGATTCATGGACACAGCGCGAGCGATGCTGATTGTGGGTCAAAGAAATCACGCATCAGCTCGTGTTCTCAAAACGGATAGGTTTTGTGGAGACATTTGAAAGTTGATGAGCATAATCTCATTCACATCCGCGTCTTACAACTACCTATTCGACTACAACGGAGGGCTGATCAAATACTCGATTATCCTGATCTCGTTAGCCTAAAAAATGGTAGATTAAACCTTTGAGCAATAAACCAAAATCACATTTTCACTGTTTTTTTGTAATTTCTTCGGTAATTTTAAATGGATTTCTGATGTTTTCGTCTTGAAGGAAATGCTATTGATTTCCTTTTTTTTTTAATTTACCAACCCTAAGCTACAATTAACTTTATCAAACATAGATAAAGAAAGATATAAGGATTATTTATTTCCATTTAATTCCACTAAAGTACTAATCCTTCTCTATTTCTTTATACAGGTGCAAAGGCCTCAAATTCCAGCATCAATCTTCAGAAATTCGTATGAATTTTCGTTAAAATTTCCTTCGAATCTTATTCAGGGTTTACTTGACATTCTACTCAGAACTACCTTGGTATCTGGAGTTCCTCAGGACTACCTTGAAAGCAGATGGCACTTGAAGTTTGTCTCATAGTTCTTCCCAGAACTCCCTTGGAATGAGTTCCTTAGAAATTATCATCCAATTTCATGAGCCTTGAAAATTATGCAAGATCCTCAATCTAGATCACCCTACAACCAAATGAGCTAAGACTTTCAGAGAATAGGTTAAGATAGGTTAAGTGCGGGTTGTGCTTAGTATAACCAACCGGTGGAAACTAACGATTTTAAATTGGCTCACTACTTGACTAGTCTATTGGTCCCAAGAAAGTTGATTAACGCACCCCATTCCAGTCGAAATTCTAGTACTACACTATGTTTGTTTTGATTCGCTTTGAAAGTTTGACAAATGAAATGAGGGGTTTGTGGATTTTCCTATGTTTCGAGGGGTGCATTGATTAGCTTGGGACCGAAGAGAGTACCAGAGCTAAGCCAAAAAGTTGAGCACGTTTCTTCGGGACCTTCTAGTCTTAGAGTTACCTCTATGGTATAACCAACAATCAATACGAAACTAACGATTTTAAATTGGCTCACTACTTGACTAGCCTATTGGTCCCAAGCAAACGATTAACATACCCCATTCTAGTCAAAACTCTAGTACTACACAATGTTTGTTTTGATTCGCTATGGAAGTTTGACAGATATGTCAAACAAATGAGGGGTTAGTGGATTTTCTTATGTTTCGAGTGGTGAATCGATTAGCTAGGGACCGAAGATAGTACCAGAGCTGAGCCAAAAAGTTGAGCACGTTTCTTCGGGACCTACTAGTCTTAGAGTTACCTCTATGGTATAACGGAATTAAGATCCTATATAAAACAAATACTAATGTAAAAGTTTTAGAAATTCCAAATAAAAGAAAGAAGTTGCGCCTTGGACATAGAAAAATAATCAAGATCCTAGACGCAGAATGTTTTTCAAGAATCTAACTCCTCAAAAAATCCAATTTTAAGAGCAGGAACTCCGAAAATTTTACGAGATCTCAGACTTGGACAAATTCTAAAAAATAAACCCGTCGTGCGACGTATCAAATATCATGATTGTGTTGAACTTGTCTAGTAATGGCCTTATTGGCAGTACATGGTCTCACTAGCCCTCCCGGACATGTTCCGTTGCCCCAGAGGAAGTGGCCAATGTTCGACAAAGACCGAAACCCGTCGTGCGATATATTAAACCTCTTGATTTTAGAAAACAAAGCCGGTAATGGCCTTATTGACACTTCTCGGTCACACTAGCTCTCCCGGGCATGTTCCGCTGCCGATTCTCGACAAGAACCAAAACCCGAAATATTAAACATATTGGTTTTACAAAACATGGCTGGTAATGGCCTTGTTGATAGTCCACGGTCACATTGGCCCTCCCGGATCTGTTCCGGTGCCCTCAAGGAAGTGGCCAATGCTCAACAAGAATTAAAATCCGTCGTGTAATAATCATCCTTCATGAATTTCAACAATGTTCCTGTGATTGAGAGGTGGAAGCAGTACTATGACGAACACCTCAACAGTGATGCAGCAGAAAACTAAGGTGGCACGGCAACAGACATTGAAGCACGCGCAGAAGACGACAGGCTACCGACCCCTGATCTTCAAGTTGAGGAGGAGATCGGTCAACTCAAGAACATCAAAGCAACCGGTGTAGATCAACTACCAAGTGAGCTTTTAAAATACGGTGGTGAAGCACTGACTAGAGCGCTGCACTGGGTAATTGCCAAGATTTGGGAGGAGGAGATATTACCGGAGGAGCGGATGGAAGGTGTCGTATGCCCAAACTACATAAAGGGCGACAAGCTGGATTGCTGCAACTACCGCGCGATCACACTGCTGAGCGCCGCCTACAAGGTACTCTCCCAAATTCTATGCCGCCGCCTGTCGCCATTTGCAAGAGAGTTCGTGGGGCTATACCAGGCGGGATTCATGGGTGCCCGCGCTACCACGGACCATATTTTCGTTATTCGGCAGGTTCTGCAGAAATGCCACGAATACAACGTGCCCACACATCATTTGTTCATCGATCTCAAATCCGCATACGACACAATCGATCGAGATCAGCTATGGCAGATTATGCACGAGTACGGATTTCCGGATATACTGACGCGATTGGTCAAGGCGACGATGGATAGAGTGATGTGCGTTGTTCGAGTATCAGGGACACTCTCGAGTCTCTTTGCATCTCGAAGGGGGTTACGGCAAGGTGATGGACTTTCGTGTCTGCTATTCAACATCGCGTTAGAAGGTGTGATCAGGAGAGCTGGGATAGACACGAGTGGCACGATCTTCAAGAAGTCCATCCAGCTTCTTGACTTCGCCAATGACATTGACATCATGGCACGGAACTTTGAGACGATGGCGGAAACGTACATCAGACTGAAGGCTGAAGCTAGGCGGATTGGACTTGCCATCAACGCATCGAAGACAAAATATATGAAAGGAAGAGGTTTTAGGGAAGACAATGTTAGCCTCCCACCCCGAGTTCAGATTGACGAGTTCGTGTATTTGGGCTCACTGGTGACCGCCGAAAATGATACCAGCAGAGAAATTCAAAGACGCATTATGGCAGGGAATCGTGCCTACTTTGGACTCCGCAGGACGCTCCGGTCGAATAAAATTCGCCGCCACATGAAATTGACTGTCTACAAGACGCTGATTAGACCGGTGGTCCTCTACGGCCACGAGACATGGATTATGCTCGTGGTATTTTCGAACGGAAGGTTTTGCTTACAATCGACGGTGGAGTGCAGATGGATGACGGATCGTGGAGGAGGCGAATGAATCACGAATTGCACCAGCTGCTGGGAGAACCATCCATCGTCCACATTGCAAAAATTGGGCGACTACGGTGGGCTGGGCACGTCGTAAGAATGTCGTACGACAACCCAGTGAAAATAGTTCTAGAAAGCGACCCAACAGGAACAAGAAGAAGAGGCGCGCAGCGGGTAAGGTGGATCGACCAAGTAGAAGGCGACCTGCGGACCCTTCGCAGACTACGAGGCTGGCGAAGTGTGGCCATGGATCGAGTAGAGTGGAGACGACTTCTTCGGACAGCAGAGGACAACAAGGCCTTAGTCTGATTGGTAAGGTAAGTAAGGGATTCATAATAGAATTGCATATAAATTCCTAGGTGAATCGTTGGAAAATTGTGAGAAGTCACTCAACGGAATTTTTAGAAGAAATTCAAATGAAAAAAAATGAATGATGATTTAAAACGATTTTAAGATGGATGTTTTGGGAATTATAAGCTGAATTTCAAAGAAAGTGAATTACGGAGATAAACGCTTCTTCAAGAAGAGCTTCAAGCAGGAGAAAGGATTCTTGTGAGACAAGCTTAGCAGGACAGCTTTCCGGAGGAAGTGAAGATTCTGCAAATCAGCTGTGAACGCAACGCAAGTCAATCACCAGTACTCGTTGACAAGTCGAGCTGGCTCTACAGCTGAGTTCGATCATGGATGCTGACGGAATCGTTCGAATGGGAGGAAGATTGGCGCTGTTGGAAGTAGTTCCTTTCGACAAGAAATTCCCTATAATCCTTCCCAAGCGACACCAGATCACAAGTATGATTATACAACACTTCAATGAAAAATAAGGTCATGCCAACCGGGAAACCGTATTTAACGAGCTACGACAACGCTTCTACATCCCAAAGCTTCGATCAACTATATCAATAGCCTTGAAAGACTGCATGTGGTGTCGAGTCAACCGATGTCAGCCACAAGTTCCGGTGATGGCGCCCCTACCTGTTCAACGGGTCACGCCACAGTGACGCCCCTTCAGCTCGGTAGGAGTTGATTACCTGGGTCCTGCGGAAGTGTTGGTCGGACGTCGAAGAGGTGGTGCATAGCTTGACCACACAAGGTTGTCTGATGGCGACAAGGAAATTCATCTGCAAGCGAGGGTCACTGGACGAATTCTTTTCGGACAACGGAACCAATTTCAAGGGTGCAAGAAACGAGATGTCCAATGCGAAGCAGAAGATCAGTGCGGAATGCGCTGAAAGCGTCTCAAGTCCGGCAATCAAGTGGCACTTCATCCCTCCCGGAACACCTCACATGGGCGGAAGCTGGGAAAGAATGGTGCGATCAGTGTAGGAGGCGATGAGGGCATTGGATGACGGCAGGAAGCTGACGGATGAAATACTCCTGACCACATTGTCCGAGGCGGAAGACATGGTAAATTCTCGTCCGTTGACTTATCTACCACAAGATTCAGAGGAGACTGAAGCTATTACAAAGAACCATTTCCTTGCGCAGGGCTACCAAGGATGCGGATCAGATGGTCGATGATGAAGTCGAGCTGGTAGAAGAACTGAGAGATGTCTATAAGTGGTCGCAGTACTTGGTCGATAAGATGTAAGGAATACCTGCCCAGGATCAATCGCAGAATGAAGTGGTTTGAAGAGCGAAGACCATTGCAAGTACACCGTTCTAAAAATTTATGTAAATTTCTGCGAGATATAGCGCACATACAATTAACGCTAGATTTGGCATAAATTTACGCGTTATTTTGTGTAGATTTAGGCGTAATATCGTATAAATTAGCAATATTGTATGCAAGCTTTAAACGATTTCACTGTTTATGCCAAGTATAGCTCAAAATTAAACGAAGGGAGATTTTACACATTAGTTGAAATTCAGAATTTTTTCTGTGTAGGAGGATTTGGTATTCCTGGTAGATGGTGCACAGCGGAAGAACTGGGTCCGCGGAATAGTAGGTCGTTGAGGCTGCAGATGGTAAGATCCGGCAAGCCAAGGTGAAGACGAACAGAGGCGTATTCAGGAGAGCATGAGCATGATTGACCGCCCACGGTTGCTACTCTGTTATTGCCAGACCAGCTGTAATTACACAGAGAACCAATAGACGATGCTTGGGACTAGCAATCATCCTCAATGTGTAAAAACTGGTGATCTCAAACTAGGCAGAACACAGATCAAGAAAGGAAGGGGTAGGAATGTGTTGACGTGACACTCGCTTTGATGGAAGCCGAGAACACCTCTGCACTTCCACGAGGAATCACTGGGATATTGGGTAATAGGGTTGGGTTTGCAGCAGGGTTCGTTTTGGTAAACGATAAGCTGAATTGATGTCCTAACAATCATATAACGCGTAGGAGCTTGGGATTGAACCCACGGTATTCTGCTCAGTAAGCAAAAACGTTTGCCACTAGGCAGACGAGCTCCTTTTTAATCATCAAGTTGCTGTTATTTCCATGTAGTCATGTTAACAAATAAAACGATAGACGAATCTTGAATGTGGATGGGCTTGAGATTAGACTCATGATGTTCTGCTCAGTAAGCAAAACCGGTTGTTCTAAGGCCACCGAGTCCTTCATATCACATGATAGCGTTACTCAGTACGGCACCGACGACAACGAAAAGTTTTACAAAATACACGATAAACAAGCCATACCATACATTTTTAATATGGAATGACCTGGGACCGCGTTTTTCTGCTCAGTAAGCTTTCCACTGCAATCGATCTTTGAAATCCTTGAGCTAAAAGCTACAAAAGAGGCCTTCATTAAGATCCATTTTCACGCGACGTTAAATGTTTCGATTTTCTCTTTACGCATGGTTCAGGCAATCATAACAAGCTATGATCGACGTGACGATTGTTTAAGACCTGGTTAAACAAGCTATTCAAATGAAATTACGTTCTCGAATTTCACTTGGCATGTAATGAACAACAGAAATACGCGATAATTCATATTTTCAGCGGTTGGTGGTTGATTTTAAATACACTAACGGTACTGCCTACGACTACGACGGCGCCTACGACAACGACAACAGCGAATTTGTAACTTACCATTTGTCTAGGATAAACACCTTTGCCCGGCACCTCCACTGGTTCTTCATGTCCGCTATCTGTTACTGTTTGCAAAATATCTAATAGCAATTACCTTTGTTGTAATACTTCCTGTATTGCCATGGTCATCTGGGAGGAGGGTCGCATCTAGTGCTTTCCCCAGGAACCGTTCACGACCACCAGCTACTGGTGGTCCAGTCTTGGGCGTATCCAGCGAGGCATCCTTCAGATTACTTACAATCTCCGACACTCAATGCAAATCGCAGGCACACTTACGCTAGTTACAAAAAAAAAACACACCCGTGCAAAGAAACGGATCACATATACGTCACTCTCGCGAAAACACACCTGTCGTCGTCGAACAGCTTTCTGGATTTTTAGTTGCCTCTGTGATATACTTAATTGCGGCATACTATTTTGGGAGTGTATATGAGCTTGTACCATGTACGGTAGCTCATATCTCATCGTGATGGTGGGACACAGTAGACAAATTAGAGAAAAAACAAGGAGGTATTAGTATTAGTTATATGTAAACAAACAAACAAAAGAAGAGAAGAGGAAAGAAGAGCAGAAACATAAAAAAGGGGATAAAGTAGATAACAAAGAAAAGAAACGTAGGCAGATTATTAGAAAAGGCATTAACCGAGACTCAGCAATCAAATGTCACTCCCGCCGAGATCTCAGCGAAACCCTCTCCGCCGAGACCCGCACAGCCGAGCTCGGTAGAAAAAACTAAGTGTGTAGATAGATTAGTAGGAAAATAAATAAAACTACTTTATGACTCAAAGTGCAATGAATGAGCGTTAGTTTCGGGATCATTTCAGTGTTAGAGTTATGTTAGTTTTGATCCGTAATCAACCCTGCCGGCTCCTCCAACATTAGTTGCAGGCAGTGGTTGTTAGATCATGCGGCACTGTAACTACTACTATTTTAGAGGTATGATTCGTCAAGTTTATACAACTCAATGTTTCAATTGAGGCAAACTATCTTTCTTACAATTACAAAAGCAAACCTAAACTTACAGTTGTATGCAAATTCAAAATGAAACTTGACAAATCATCGGCAATCCCGAGGGGGGCGACACATCTACATCTCAATGCTAGATACTCAACAAATCTCACATTAGCGAATCAATATTCGAAAAATCTTCTTTCATTTCTCGAATATACTTGCATCGCACATAATCTGTTTGAAGAAAATCTTCAGAATCGTCATCAATCTTCTTTCTATCTACTCAGCGTGCGCGCAGCTAACCACATCAAAACACAAATTTTCATGCATCGTAGATAGAGTCGCCCCCCTCGGTCAATCCCCTTATTCCAGCCAGATCAGTGAACGGGCACCATATGGTACATTTTCTCACCATGAACCTATCATTTCCAGCCTATCTGAACTATTTAATAAATGGAAGCCATAACATGGGTTACGCTCCCCCTAAGCGGGCCCTCCGCATCCTATCTCTGTCTTATCTCAAATACAAAATGCCAATGGTACGAATGTATCTATATATAACTTGGAAATGACGTACAATCAAATAAACCCGTAACCCACTCACTTGGCCAGGCTTCAGAATCGTCCAGTGGGCAGTGCGCTCTACACTCCAAGTTCCCTTTTTTTCAATTTTACCGCAAATTTGATATTTTACCCATTGAGTGTTGATTAATCACAATGAAACATTGTGACAGACGTTGAGGTTACTAGTGTATTAAATAATCTAGGTCCTATTTAGGATTATATCTGAAAAATCCAAATCTGGCCAACGCCCACCCTAAACCTAAACCTGTTCTAATCCACCTAAAATGGCTAACGAATGGAAGACTTTGACTACCCAGCCATGCAATAGTCTCATTCCGTGCCTTATGGCAACTTGATGATTCTATTGCGCTCATCTTCTGGCACCACCCAGGGGAGACTTGGTCCTGTACTCAATGCTTAACTTATCTCCATTCCACTCAGCTACTCGCAATTTCTTGTGATATACTGGGCGGAATATTATTATATGAGATAATTCAATGCAGACGTCTTTCCAAATTTGGCAGATCGACAGGTAATCGGTGAGTTACCACGATAGTTGCTATTCAACAACTCGACAACGTCCCATCGTCAACGCCTGCTATGAGAATTTCCCATTGCAGACGCCAACGAAATGACGTCATCGAGCTATCGATCAACTACCCTGGTTATCGCCTGGTACCTTATAGCACGATGCTAAATAGGAGGCGAACCGGAAGAATCGATGAGCTACCTCCCTCCACAAACAGAGGCGTATTCAGGAGAGCAGTGGCAAACCTGGCAGTGATAGAGATTCCTGGTAAATCTGGGACTTCCGGTGGAGCGGAACCGGAGTTACGGGCTGGGGTGTGAAGAAAACTGGGAACACGGTTTGGGCCAAATACCATTCTAACGAACATGCTACGTCGCTGTAAGGTAAACGGTAGAATTGAATTGGAGGAATGTATTCAAAAACAAAGTCGTTCATTAGTGCGGAAAATTCCGGATTGCGTTTAGAAAAATTAGTTCATATTTCGGTTGAAAAAATAATCAAAACTAGTTTTAAGGCATCTAAAAATGCATTTAATTGTATCAGCAAGTGTGTTCAATTGGATACGGTAAATTTGATCATGCAACTAGTAGAAATAATGAACTGAAAACAACATCTTATATCTAGGTTGGCAAGCACTAGTACACAAAACCAGTGCTGCAAAATTTCGACAATACACGGTGATACTCAAAATTCTGCTTTGGTCACTCGTTTGAGCTAACAGTCATCGTCAAGGCAAACCATGTCAATTGTCAGTAGCATTTTTGTCAGTGACGAACATGTGCTGATTTGTTTATTAGCTAAATTTGAGATGAAATTAAATGGCTTGAGCAGAACAACTACATGGAGCCATTAAAGTGAATAAGCATCTACGTCCTGAACGGCTTGGATAACAATAATGTGTCTCAGAATGCAAGAAATTACACTTTCTGTTACCAGGTGAATCTTTGTCATTGACGAAAAAATGAATGAGATTTTGACAAAGATTTTTTTGATGATCAAGTCTATCATTGACTATGTGAAAAACAATTTTGTCAATATCGCGCAAAAGTCTGTCAATGACAATGACAAATCTCAGCACTGCACAAATAAATCTAATATACTAAAATTTCTTAGATCTAGTGACTAGAATTGTGGATAAAAGTCCAGACTAGTGTCGTAAGTATTCTAAACGTGCCCCTAAGGCTGAAAGCCTCCTAAATAAAGCTAAATAATAATATTCTAAACGTAAATAGATTGATCAGATTAGTGGAGAAACGTTTTGAGATCGATAAATCACCGCAAATCGCTCGAAGCAAGAGGTGTAGAGAAGAAACTATCTTCTGTAAGTAGAGTGTTAAATTTGTACATCGTAAAACACTAATTCGAATATTAAATTTACAGTTTGAGCTGCGTCAATCAGCTGCTACAAAACGGTGGTGAAATTTCTTGAAAGTTTTCCGAATACAGCCGACAACCCATAGATGGAGAAACGCTGCTCTATAATAATAAAAAAAAAAAAAAAAC